GGATTTTACCATATGCCTCCAATCTCTGCGATGTATCAAAACCTGATAGAAACATGAAACCGTCGAGTCAAATGTTGATTCGCTTCTGAATTATTAAGTTTCACAGTCTTTTAAACACCTTCGCGCACCTTAATAAAATAGGTACGTCCAAAAATAAGTAGCTTCCAGAAAAACTACATACTTCTGCGGAGCTTTTAACTTTTCATGGACACGACAACTGAATGAGCAGATAACCACCCCGCGATATGCAAAAACCTTGTGAACGAAGAGCTAAAACTCAAATTGACATTTAACGACGTATCATCAACAAAACCTTGCATAACTACCCTACCTGTCCTGGCTGATACGGTCCATCAATTTCTTTCCTGATAGGAGTAAGTCGTCCTAATTCTTTAAGAACTGGAGAACGTCCACCTGCTGAAGGTCGAAATCTTCAAAAGCAAATATGGCACCAAAAAAATGACAAAACTTCAAAATAAGCAGAAAAAAGAATTCAATTAGATTAGGATTGAACATAGGACAAGGTTTCTGCTTCATCTCTTAATTATACAACAGTGACCTGTTGAAAAATTCCCCAAAGAAACCCATTTTCTAATAAAACATTAAAACACTGCCAATTTTCACGACCAACACCCCTGAACCCCACAAATTCATAACAAAACAACAGACTACGAAAATTCTAGAATATACTCGTAAAATACATAAACTACCTCGTTGTTTTAACAGCGGAAGTCCCAAGCAGTCTTGAGAAATCCTGTAAAAGAACTAAGCTCCTCAGAGGAGACAGATAGATAACCATTACCAGTACCTGAAAAATATACTTAATTTACCACGGCTAGCGAGTGACAATATGTAACACGAAAATAAGCACAAGAGGAACCGCTCAATTAAATTTTTGTTGAAACAATTTTAAAAGCATAAATGTCCATTACTAAAATGCTCCAACAAAAAAAAAAACTACATCTGAACTTTTCAACTTTTATTTAACATTTTATTTCAATAAGGAGGAAGAAAACGGTTTGCAGAAGAGCACCAACTCCCGCCCTGATCATAACTATTCACCTTCAGTTAAAAAAATGTGAGAAACTGCGTTGTGCAAAGCACTAAAACACTTTAAAGAAATGCCCCAACTTCCCAAAAAAAATTTATAAACCAAGTTAAGGATAATAAAAGAATACTTCTGAGAGCAATTATCCTAAGGAAGAATTTTTAAGGAAATAGATTTTTGATCTAAGGCAGGTTTACCATAAACAGCGAAAATGAAGAAGTATAAAGCAAACTGTGAGCAAAGCATGAAGACCCTAAACGACCCTAACACCATCAAAAAACAGCTGAAACAAAACAATCCGCCTGAACTGCACACCTAACCCACTATTAAAAGTTCAAAAACACGAAAGAAACACGAAAAATCAAGCTAAAAGGTAGTAGAAAATTACAAGCTAAGAAAGCCCCAGTTCCCTGCAGCGTACACTAAGTACAACCAGTACCAGCAGCCTTACAAATAGTGACTCCACCTCAGCTCTCATGCTGATATCCTAAGAACAACCTTTCTATAATATAAAAATCACATCTGAGGAGTAAGCAAATGAAATTTTACAGGCAAACTCCTTCCCAGTCAAAATTAGTTCAACTCTTGGCAACCAATTTATATATA